TTTTCAGGTTGAGTTCAAGCCTGCTTTGGGTTGAGTTAATTTCATTGCTTTGGCTTTGGTATGGGCAAGAGCTTGAAAGATTTAAAGGTTTATTCTCTTTCCAGGCATACATGGAGCATGACTCTGTGCGTCGACCTCAACTCCAGCTGGCAGTACAAGCTTATGAGGATCTGCTGAATGAGAGACAGCAATATGAAAAAGATGTCAAATTAGCTCACGGCTTATGATCTGAAAGGAGGAGGTTTCATTCATTTACTATCAGAGATACATAGTTTTCCTTTTTTTTGTTTTATGAAAGAGAGTCCACTATTTAAGTAGGCTGTATTGGGCAGAAGTATAATATGGCCAAAGTGTTGTAGTTTTCATCTTTTTGATCCTCTCTTTTGATGAAATTGTTCAGTTTAGATGTGATTTACATATGAATAATGCAGCAACATAAAGTAACACAATTCTGAAAAATAGGGTAAAGATAATGTGCCACCAGTTGCTACTTTTCTTTCGAAACAAAAATTTCAGATAATAAGTCATAAGCATTGATATCGTTCAATTAATGTGTTATTGGTGTACATAGCTTTTTTGTTTTGTAAATAAACCACTAGAATGAAAGAGAATATTAATTTCTTCCAGCATTTGATACTAATGAACACAAAAGAATGGAAATTACAAGATTACAAGATAAGATAATGCATGGTAGTGAAAAGGGTAGAGAGAGGGAACTGATGTGGTATACTGTATCTATTTAGTTTTTGAAGATCTTCTGCTGCATCAATATTCAGGGTCATTAGCAGTGTATACAAGACAGCAATAGGGTGGGGCTAATATTATTTTGGTTCAGTAAGGCGATGTGGATTTCCAGAATGGTCGGTGGTCAAAACAAACAAATGTACCAGGCATCAACAGTTACACAGCATTATGGTAAACTATTCAGGCGAAAAGGATAAATGAGTTAATGATTTGGATAAGTGGACAGAAGGGGATGAAGAGAAGGAAGAGGAAAGAATGAGAAGAAAAGAACATGCAAAATTAGTTGTGGCAGGGGCTGAGGACCAAGGTAGGGGTGATGCCCTACATTAGGCTCAGTCCGTCTCTTAAATTCCCCCATGACAAGAAGCAACGGATTGGGGGGGTGGTCATGGCGACTCCAAATATGCAAGGGAGGGGGGGGCTACCACTCAGGGTCTGCATGAGGGAAAAGGGATATTTTATTTATTTACTGAAAATTTTCTGCCATTTACATCCAAGGTCATTAGAGGCATATTCAAAATATAGTGCTAGGGTGGAGCAAAGCCCTCAATGAGGAAGTCTTTTGATTCAGTGTGATGTTTGTGGATTTCCAGAATAGTTAATGGCCTATACAAATAACTGTATCAAACATCAGAGGTCATATAACGTTATGATAAAGTATTATGGCAAAAAGGGTAAAAATGAGTTAACAATTAGGATAAATAGCCAGAAGGGGATGAAGAAGAGAAGGAAAAGGAAAGGAGGAGACATGCAAAATTAGTTGAGGCAAAAGCGGAGGACCAAGATAGGGGTGATCTTCTACATATGGCCTGTCCTATTCTCCTAAGCTCCCCCACAATAAAAATGAGCAAGTGATTAGGGGAGGGACCAAGATATAGGTGATTAACCAAGGGAATATCCTGCCCATGGTCCCTGAGGAAGTAGACAAAGACGAAAATACCATACAAAAGTCTCCTAACCCCATGCTAACAACAGGTAGGTAGAATCCCTTTACTTTAAATTCTTATTGGAATGAACATGTCTTTTTATAAACCATTTACCATTGTGGTCCACCAAAAGTGTGATGTGAGGGGAAAAACACCAGAGTATATGGAGAATAAAATAAGTATGTACAGTTGGAAAAGAAGAGCTTTATTAACAATACCACAACAGGTAAATGAATGGAATCCAGTGGAGACAGAATTTAACAAATGTGAATATAATTAAAGAATTAGGATAAATCAAAACAGAACAATAACATGGTATCTTTAATCAATTCCTAATAATTACACTAAAGCTAAATTACTTTACATCTGGATATATTACAAAATTGCAAACAGAATCTAGTCATACATTCATATATTACTGACTAGTTTTTTTTATGTAATTATAAAAAGGCTGAAATTGAACACTTATAAAATCAGGCATACTTTTAGCACCAATTCTACTTCAAATCACGAGTCTTTCATTATTGCACCATATATAAAACAGCTGTGCATATTTTAAAACCTGATTCAGAACTTTGCCTCCCCTCCCCCTCCCCCCTACCATTATCATTGGTCCCAAATTTACTGGAAAAAAAGACTCATGAATTTTCTTACAAGATGCAGTGTTCAACATTGCAAATTCTGAGAATAGACCTCCCACCCAAGAAAAAAAAAAAAATTCACAGCCATTGTATATTCTTTTTTAATTAAATACCTTACTGCATTTTGAATGGAGATTTTTGCTTGACTACAAAATTAGATGGAGCAAGGGTTGAGGCCCAAGGTGATCCCTAACATTGGGCCCCAGCAAGGGTTGAGGCCCAAGGTGATCCCTAACATTGGGCCCCAGTCTCCTAACCCCCATGCTAACAACAGGTAGCTAGAATCCCTTTACTTTAAATTCTTATTGGAATGAACATGTCTTTTTATAAACCATTTACCATTGTGGTCCACCAAAAGTGTGATGTGAGGGGGAAAACACCAGAGTATATGGAGAATAAAATAAGTATGTACAGTTGGAAAAGAAGAGCTTTATTAACAATACCACAACAGGTAAATGAATGGAATCCAGTGGAGACAGAATTTAACAAATGTGAATATAATTAAAGAATTAGGATAAATCAAAACAGAACAATAACATGGTATCTTTAATCAATTCCTAATAATTACACTAAAGCTAAATTACTTTACATCTGGATATATTACAAAATTGCAAACAGAATCTAGTCATACATTCATATATTACTGACTAGTTTTTTTTTTATGTAATTATAAAAAGGCTGAAATTGAACACTTATAAAATCAGGCATACTTTTAGCACCAATTCTACTTCAAATCACGAGTCTTTCATTATTGCACCATATATAAAACAGCTGTGCATATTTTAAAACCTGATTCAGAACTTTGCCTCCCCTCCCCCTCCCCCCTACCATTATCATTGGTCCCAAATTTACTGGAAAAAAAGACTCATGAATTTTCTTACAAGATGCAGTGTTCAACATTGCAAATTCTGAGAATAGACCTCCCACCCAAGAAAAAAAAAAAAATTCACAGCCATTGTATATTCTTTTTTAATTAAATACCTTACTGCATTTTGAATGGAGATTTTTGCTTGTTTCTAATTTTTAAAACATATCAGCTGTATAGGAATGAATACTATTGCATGTTCCTAATAGAAAGTGTCCTATTGAAGACAATAAGAGGTAAAGTACTTGAGAAATACTGTACTATATATACGCCACTTCCACATTTAAATTAGCTCTACTTGAGATTACATACAAACACACACACATACACATGCTCACATCACACAAAAAAAGTTTACATGTACTCGCATACAGAAGTTGTTTGATATTAGTGAAATCATCAAACCTACAGTCCTTCAATAATAACTATGCATTTGTAAAAATAAAAAATACATTCTTTACATGAACCTTATAACATATATACACAAAGATTATACATTGAATAAATGGTACATATATTGAAAAGTTATAACAAAATAAAAATGCTACATAAAACAAAGTAATCTTTCTTTTTTTTTTCTCTTTTTTTTTTTTCTTCTTCCTCGTTTAGTTTCACAATTGAAGATATATATATGTTAACATGAAAATAAAAATCAAGTTCCTGTCCCTATTAAAGACAGTGAACATAAATAACATCAATTTTAGTGGCTCTTTTTGTCTGTAAAAACTCTGGGACTGATCAATCTATCTGATGCTTTTAAAAATAAAACCTTGCACAGGTTATTACCTTCACTGAAGCTGACTATGTACAATTATTTATATTATCATGCTAATACTATACACCTTTACTATCTCTCATTCTGGGTCTTCTTTTCCATTTTCTCGAACAGGTCTCTGAAAAAGAAAAGAAAAAATAAGTGAACATCACAAAGCCAAAGAAAATAATGTGTAAGAAAGTAACTATATTTCTGAAACTGAAAGTGAGTTCATAAATATTTCTCAGATAAGAAAATATAATTTCTGAGGACACACTATCAGAATTTTTTTATTTTATTTATTTATTTTTTTCATGGAAAAGATACACAATCTTGCAGATATGATGCATTAAGAGTTGCACATGCATCACCATTAATCAATCTACAAATTAGGCAATCAACAAAAAGCTAAAACTATATAAGGGAAAATGTTTATAAAAGTAAATCTAATCAAGTCTAATGAGCTTAGAGTTTCTTGTTCCCTTTCGTAATAACTGACATAGTTTTTGGATTTTATTTGTCTCTTGTACACTCCATATCTAAAGAAGGCTTTGTGATCAAAACATGTGAGTAAATTCAGGGGCAGTAGTCATGAAAAGTCATCAAATTTTCTTTGACTAATTTAAGGACTGTCCTGAAAAAAAGTCTTTGCCTCCAAGATTGTCATACAATTTGTTTATAACTATCTACAGACTGTCCCTCATGATTTCATCTATGAAATGCATTGTAGGGTAACACTTAACTAGAACTAATAATTATATTCTAAAAGACCATACAACAGTAATCCAGTGTATTAATGAAATAAAACTGTTATTGTAATGAATCTCATTTTATGTCTATAATATTGCATATATCAAATATCCTTTATGTATATATGAAGAAGAAAAATAAAAATTTAACAATAAGTAAGAAAAGAGGATGAAGTTTTCCAAATCATTTCAGTAATCTTCAGTGACTGCAAAACTGCATTCTTCTTGTAAGGGTCTCATAAGGACAATTTCAAGTCAGTCTGTTAGGGGAATGTGTGTGCGTTCTGTTCAGAAAAGAGAAAACAAAAATCTGCAATAAACTTACTTGTGTACGTAAAAGAAGATGTATCCATTCTTTTGCCTTCCATCTGCCAGAACAACAGATTCGGATATTTTCGTAACCGTTTCATCATCATAGTGGAACCAACTTCCTTCTTCGCAATTGTAGATATCAGATACATAATGTCCTGAAAATATGAAAGACCAAACTCAGAACTCTCACTCCATTTTACTATAGTTAGTGTAAAGGTTTACAATTCTTATTAGTTGAAAGATACTATATTCAATAAGACACTATCTGCAATTATATATAATAAAATAATAATGCTACTTTAGGGGAAACTCACCTGTATTGGTTGTTAACCCAAAATGACTGATAATGCTCATCAAACGGTAGGTGTGCAGGCCATTCTCAATGTCAGAGTCATCTTGACTAGCACTTCTGGTAATGTTTTCCTCATTCTGTGGGATACAATTCAAATCTTCAATTTTGTGTAAAATGCTTTAGATGAGAACTAAACTACGCCCTAGAAATCTAATTTGGAATACAAAAATAAACTTATTAATACTACTTCCTTTATGTGGAAGTACCATTACAATTCAATTACCTATTTATTACAAATATTGCATCACAATTTCCAGATCATAGATTTTCCAAATTAAACTTACAATGCAATCAAAACAGGAAAAACAGATTGACTATATCTAATCTTCTTAAGGATACTGATAAACTGGTAAAATATCCAATACCTCCAGTTACTTCTTTAAAAAAATATACAACACATTACATAAAGGCACAAAGAATACCTACCTCTCATGTTTAATAATGGAAAAACTTTTCAATACAAGAGATGTTCTAAGCTTTGGAAGGTTTCATAATTCATACTAAAATCAAAAAAATATGACAAAAAGGAAATCATATCACAAACAGGAAATAAGGGGAAGGTGGCAGAGGAAGGGGGGGAGGGGGAGGCAGAGGCAGAGAGGGGGGGAGAGAGGGAGAGGGAGGAGGAGAGAGAGAGAATAAATCACACAATACAGCTCAAAACAAATGGTGTAGCATTTACTTAGCATGTGCCAAAAAAAAAAAAATCTCTTTAAAGAAAAATATCTAAACAAATCTATTTAAAATAAAAAGCAACAATATAGGAAATTTCTCCGGATTAAAACAGCACAACCCTGAAGAAAGCACCAGCAGAAGCAGATGAGTAGGAGTCTAGTCATGACTACATAATAACATGTACTAGACTCATACCTATCAGCCCTCACTGGCAAAGCAAAAAACAAGCTCCTATCTGCCATGTGATCATCCAGTGGCAACTTTTGTCCAACACAGCAGAGCAACAACAATACATAGCCAGAAAAAAAAGGTAATAATACAAATTTAAAAGGAGCATGCAATCTTTCTCTCTCTTACCTCTTCTTCAGCATTTTCTCCCTGATTTTCCTGGGAGTAGGTCATGCCAAGCTCTTGCAGTGACAATCTAATGGCTTGTTGAATCTCATCGTCTTCTCCTCCTCCGATATCGTTCATGCTGCGACGCATTACTTCCTGAAATTACAAATAAAATGGTCTTGATTTTCTATTCATGAAATACTATGCCTTTTCTTAATCAATTATAAGTAAAAATTTATTACACTCAATGAATATTGTAAGACAAACACACAAATAATCAAACAAGTCAAATCTCATAGTTTTAGTAATATGTATATAAAGCAGACTTACTAAGATGATACAATGATGCAATTTAGACTGGAAACATTATGAATTCTCGGCATTTCCATTATGAAAGGTTGATCAATTCAAACAATTCACAAGTGCACTAGGCAATATAAAAGTACAATACACATTCTTCCAACCAACAATGCTTGCTTACCTGAAGTTCCTCGTCTTCATTATCAGGAATGGCTATTGGGACATTTGCAGCTGCTTTGACTGGACTTGTCAGACACAATTCATCTTTATCCTTCTTCGACTCACAAACATTGAGTTCCGACGACAAATTGCGCACAGTTAGGGTTGCTTGCTTTGGTGGTCGTGGAACAATGGTACTGCAAAAGCATTAACCTATCACCATTTGTACTTCTATAATTTTTGTACAACATATTTCCCAACACACATTATTAAATGTTAATCAAAGTAAAAAATATTTTCTCCATACAAAAAATGATGGAGTAGGGTGAAATCAATCTCTCAGAATGCTATTGGACATTTGCAGCTGCTTTGACTGGACTTGTCAGACACAATTCATCTTTATCCTTCTTCGACTCACAAACATTGAGTTCCGACGACAAATTGCGCACAGTTAGGGTTGCTTGCTTTGGTGGTCGTGGAACAATGGTACTGCAAAAGCATTAACCTATCACCATTTGTACTTCTATAATTTTGTACAAGAAAGGTATCCAGGTCCAACATAATTCCTATCACACATTATTAAATGTTAAAGTAAAAAATATATTCTCCATATAAGAAATGATAAAGTTAGATCAATTATACATTTGTATCTTACTAATATAAAATTACATCTACATCTTGATGGAGGTATATGAAAAATTAGTGAAGAATTCAAAAATTAAGACTTAGTAATCCAATGTAATGTAACTAAAAAAATGAACCAGAATACAAAATTATACCTGACAGCATTGGGACTCCAAGGAGAAGGCCCCTCAACATCGCCGGTCAAATATGGGTCTAAGGTGATCCATCGGTTTATGTGCACTCGAGATGACATCTTTATACTTTCACACTGTTCTGGCTTGTATTCATACCTCTTGAGTTGGACAATAAGGATTCTGCTCAGACAAAAAAATATACAATGTTAGACTTCACATCAAAACATCTCCACTTTATTATTATTATACAGGACTCTATTCATACTAAAAATTAATTTCCAACAGCCTTTAGATGCATATCTTCATAAACATTATCATAATATATGATAGTATTTCAAAGGACTCCCAAGATATTCTTAATTATTAGATATATACTAATAAGTGTTCAGAACTTGTACTTGGTAAAAGTTACAAAGACAACCATGGACAGCGTACACTTACCTAGGCAATCTTGTCACTGTGGTAACAACTGAAGATCGATTGTGAAGGCATTTTTCACATTTCAATTCTCTCTCATCCGCACTCATGTAAGAAGATATGGCATCCTGAATGGTGTCTCTACCCTCTTCTGGAAGATTGACATACAGGCCAAAATACTCTTGTTTTCTACCTTCAACTTCATCACAACTGTAAAGAGAATACATCTTAAAACAGTGGGCCCAAGTCTATAATACTAAAATATAAAAAAATAAGTTAATAAAGCCAATTGTTCAAATAATATCAAATCAGGTAGTATGACAATGCATTAAGATAGGTCTTTGATTTTCTTACCCCAAACATCTGTAGGATTCAAGCAACTGAAACTCAAAATTGTCCTTCACTGGATTTCTTGGGATTACTTCTGTTGCAGTGTGCTTGGTGGGTGTGTCGAGCTGTGTGTTTTCTCTTGAGGCTATTCTTTCTGCAAGTGCATCATCAGTGTCCAAGTCCTGTGAATTCTCCATGCATACTTCTTCTGGAGTACTCTCACCATTACAGTAAGTTTTATTCTCTAATTCAGGGCTTTTAGGCGTCGGAGAATCATTATTTTTCCCCGTATCTTGTTTAATGGGACTGGGATCTCTTCTGGTGCAGCCGTTGAGATACACTTCCTCGTCAAGCTCTCCATTTGGGGTGCATGCAAGGGCCTGCGAGCCAGAAGGGCGGTCTGGACTTGGTGTGGTCATGTGGCAACGGTCTATCTCGTCTTTGATGGTATCCAGGACCCGTGTGAGGAATTCATTTGCATCCTGCATTTTGAATCCAGAGAAGGAACCATCAACGCGTTCCAAATTCTCTTTCACTGTTCTGCAGGAATGGAAATTGAGTCAGTATTCAGCAACTCTATAATGCAGTCAGACATCATAATCTAGCAATGAGTTGATATTATCAGAAAAAATAAAGAAAAGAGAGAAAAATGGAAAGGAGTAAGCAATGTGACAATGTAATTTTACTTACTTGAGAGACTGCTTCACCCCAGATACCTGGCCCTTCATTCTGTTGGACAAGACTTGACTCAGGCCATAGAAGAGAGATGTGTGGGCCATATCAAGGTGTGAAGCCACTACCCGGTAATCCAGTAGGAATGACGAGAGACCAAATAACGACTGGATGACTGAATTTAGGTAACATGTGTTGCCATAGTTTGGGAATCTGAAATAATCAGAAGGAAAAAATATTTCACTCTCCAAGAAAAACATAACATATTAACTCTATACTGCCAAAAATTTTAAAAGTTGATATAATTAACTGAGTTCTCTTACCCAATCAGATGTGGTGGTGTGACTGATGATACTGGCTGCTCACTGCACAGTTCTGTTGGGACATTTTCTTTCTCTGCTGCGAAATAAGACTTGGGCCCATAAGCCTTCTCAACCTTTTCAGGCGAAATATCACTTACAAGCCGGGATCTGCAGAGGTTCATGGGTTTTTTCTTATTACCATACACCTTCACACTCCCCGCTTTCGGTGGGCCAAAGAGAGAGTTCTCTTTGTCCGAATTGGGGCTGGGTTTGCTCTCCTTCCGGGTGGGAATAAAAACATCTTCCTCGTTATCCGAGAAGATGTTGTAAGGGTCCTTGGTATTCTCGGTACCATTAATTGCACTAAAGGGACGTTTCAAGGCCTGAGGGGAGGAGTCCTTCTTTCCCAGCCATTTTCCCAGGCTGTTACCTTCCTCAGGCTGAGGCAAGGTCTTCAGGGCACTGGTTACCATCTTCTCTGAGCGAGACGAGAACCGTTTCTGCAAGACGGTCCTGGGAGGAGTTCCATAGGAGGAGTGTGGGGTCCCTGTCTTCCCTCCTCGGTGCTGGTACTTCTTGAGGTAATTCCGACTGCCGGTCGAATATGGATTCCGACGGACTGTGCCTTGAATAACAACGTACGGAGAATTAACCAAATGAAGGATTAACATTTTTCATTCCAAATATATTAATATTCAAAGAAACTAAAGATGTAAACAAAAAACAAAAAAAACTATAAAAAACTCAATCCATTCCAGAATTTTCCTCTAAAAAGAAAAATTTACTTTTCTACTCATTACTTTTCCATCTTCTCTTTTCTATCTCCTAATTCTCTTTCCTCTTCTATTCCTCTCTCTCTCTCTCATGTTACAACTATATCTATCAATCTATCTATAATAATTTACAACTTGTTTTCCTTGAAATACAAAACAAAAAATTAAAGCAATACTGAACAAAAATACTAAGAAACAAAATATTAATAATGAAACAAAAAGCCTACTTACTTGAATTAAATGTAGCTGGTGGTTTCTTTGGAGTAAATTCCATCTTTCAACCACAGCTGTAAATAATTTCCTTTTTTGTGAAATTCAACACAGAAAAAGAAGAAAAAGAAAGAAAAGCCAACTAAATCCTAAATCTTTCCATTATCTAACCAATTCCTCAATTTATCCCTATCATTTATACCGTGTATTTTTATTGTTCGTAAATACGCATATCTACATATACTGAAAAGAAGTAAAAATGAAATAAAAAAATCCCTAGAGTAAAAGAAAGAAAGAAAAACAAATTTCTAACAAGCAATCTCAAAACAAGTCCTTTCAATACTCTAAAAGTCAGAGGAATCGAAAGAGAAGAGTTAGAAAGTCCTACAACAACAGCTAGAATGCGAGAATGTCTTCGAAAGTAGTAAAAGGTAAAGCACAATTGCTTGAAGTATTTTTTTAAATCCATGCTTTAATTGGACACTAGTGAAATATTATTTGATCTATGTATAACTATCCTACTTCTCTAGGAGTAAACAAAAGTGCTATTGATAGGGAAAATCTAAGGACACTGAGTAGAAAATACATTCACTGATATCATAAATTAAGAAATTATGTTGTGACAAATGCTACATGAAGACTGGGTCCAAGATAAGAACCTGATAATAATAACAGAGAAAAATGGTGATTGGGTGAGAGTACATGGGCAAAGACCTATGTTAGGATGGTTTTGTGGTGAAAAATAATTTTCACACAGCCATCTTTTATAAGGCAAATATAGTGAAACAACAGAGCAAATTAATCTCAGAAACTTATTTTCTATGTACTTCTGCTGCATAATGAAAATTAAAGTTATTTGATGCAGAGATGTTAGAGAGCCCGAAAAGGAAAAACTTGTTCATAATGTTTGTAAATTCCCAAGATAACAGGGTATTCTCAAAGAGCAGTCAAACTTTGTAACCAATTATCCGGGAATTGTCTTTGATGCTGCCGAGTTTGTAACGAAGCCAAACAGTATGCTATGTTACAAACGCTAGCAATCAGAATAGATAACTCCTGACCAAGCCTTGTAATCTGCGATGAAACATGAGAATTAGTGCAGAAGAAGGGAGCATTCTAACACCTCATTGGAATGTGGTATATCTCAGTTCCTTATGCTTTAAATTTGGGTCATACAATTTTTCTTCAGTCTTCCATTTGAATTCCTGTTTTAAATCAACCATCCAGTCTATTTTAACCAGAACTTCACAAAAAAATGTAGCTACATCTTACATATCTATTTTTACATATACATACATATCTATATCTCTATATATACCCTTCACACACCCATTACCTCAAACCACCACCTAACATGCACAGAAAAATAACCTCATTTGCCACAGAATCTCAAATTAACTTCCTTTAATTCCCAATAACCTCAATTTACACCTCACAACCAACCTCATTAACCTCAAACTACCTCCTGGCTCTCACAACCAACCTCACTGGCCTCTCAAACTACTTCCTAGATCTCACAAACCTCATTCACCTCACAACTAAACCTCAAACCTCCTCCTCCGCCCCAACCTCACGTGCATTGCCCCCCACCCCCCTAAAAAAAAGAAAAAAAGAAAAGAAAAGAAGAAAAAAAACCGTACGACTGACCTCCGCCCGCCACGCTTTCTCTCTTTCTCTCTCTCACACACACGTAAACATTCGCTCTGGTTTTTCTTTTCCTCTTTATTCTCTCTCTCTCTCTCTGTTATTCTTTTCCTATTCTCTCTTTCTTTCTCTCTCTTTATCTGTTATTCATTTTTTATATTTTCTCTCTCTCTCTCTTTCTGCTTGTCTCTCTCTGTTTATTTTTCGCTCTCCGGGTGGAAAAGTTCGGAGAGGAAAAAAATCTTGAAAAGTCTAGAAGGAAAATGCAAAGTTAAAAGGCGGAAAATAAAGGTAAAAAAGGGGGAGGAAGAGAAGGAGAGGAGGAAGGAAAGAGAGAAAGAAGGAGAAAGGGAAAGAGAAGAGAAGAGAGAAAAAAACGAGACGAAAACGAAGTAACCTCAAAAAACAAAACGGTATTTTTTTACAAGAGAAACTTCGGGGCCTTACCTCCGCGTTCCCTTAAGACCTCCCAGAGTTCATATCCTCCTCCTCGCAGCTGGACCGAAGTTCATAATCTCCTCGTAATTAAAGGGATAATTAAGCTAGTTTCCACCACACTCAAAACACACGAGATCCACGTCCAACGCCTCCAGGAAAAGCGCGCGAAATGGCTGCGAAATTCGGCTTTGCGTTGAGGGGCCGGGGGTGTCGTGCGGCGCGAGGGGAGTGTCGTGCGCGATGACGCTCGCTTCTGGGATCGGGGGGTTTTAGGGTTTTAAGGGTTTTTAAGGGGGTTTTAGGGTTTTTAAGGGGGTTTTAGGGTGAGAGGGGTGTGCGATGACTCTCGCTTTTGGGGCCGGGGGTTTTATGGGGGGTTAAGGGTGAGGGTTTTTTTTAAGGGGGCTTTATGGGTGAGAGGGTTTTAGGGGGGTTAAGGGTGAGGGGGTCTTAGGGGGGTTTTATGGGGGGGATTAAGGGTGAGAGGGGCTTTAGGGGTGGTTTAAGGGTGAGGGGGTTTTAAGGGGAGTTTAAGGGTGAGGGTTTTTTAAGGGGGGGTTAAGGGTGAGGGGGTTTTAAAGGTGGTTTAAGGGTGAGGGGGTTTATGGGGGGTTATGGGTGAGGGTTTTTTAAGGGGATTTAAGGGTGAGGTTTTTTAAAGGGGGTTTAAGGGTAAGGGTTTTTTAAGGGGGGTTTAAGGGTGAGTTTTTTTAAAGGGTGTTTAAGGGTGAGAGGGTTTAAGGGTGAGTTTTTTTTAAGGGGGAGGTTAAGGGTGAGGTTTTTTTAAAGGGGGGTTTAAGGGTGAGGGGGGGTTTAAGGGGGTTTGTGTGTGTGTGTTTTTTAAGGGGGGTTGGGTATGTTTAGGTGTGGGGTTTTATTTTTTTTGTTCTTTCTCTTTCTCCCTCTCTCTCTCACACTCTCACTCTCTCTCTCTCTCTCTCATCTATCTCTCTCTCTCATCTATCTCTATCTTTCCTCCTCTCCCTTGCTCTCTCTTTTTCTATCTCAGCAATATAACGCGGAAAGAAAGCCTTTTTTACCAGAGATGCTTAATAATACGAAATAATACGAAATGATAATAATACGAAATAATACGAAATAATAAGTACGAAAATAATACGAAATAATATAATACGAAAATAATACGAAATAATATTAATAAATACGAAAGCTAAAACGCAATAACTTTCTGACCCGTAAACCGCGTTGCCACAAAACACTCGCATAAAACTTCATAAATAACGTATATCCTCCACACAATCCTCTTCATGGTATTGTAATAATAAGAAAACGACATATTCATCGCCCCTTGTACATGTACCCGTATTATTTTAAAGGAAATATATTGATTTACATAATGAAGAAATAGTTTAGCCGGCATAATTCTGCGTCATGTTAGGTGGATATGCGTATTAGGCTTCTATTGCTATCACCTCTTATCTAATGGGTGTGCTCGATTGATTAATTACTTATTACTCTTATTAATCAGTTAGTTATGTAGAGAAAGAAAGAATAAGATAGGTTCCGGCATTAGTGAAAGTATTAAATATTTGGTAGGTATTTAATAAGAACTATTCGCTATTATCGTTCATCTGGCATCTGGTGCTGGATGCAAATTACACCCTTATTATGCAGAATCTGCTAATGTCACTGTATAATTAGCTAAAAAAAATGTGAAATATCTTTTGAATTATAGTACAGATATATTCTTCACTTTTTGAATAGTAGTTGATCACGATAATGCATTCTTAAATAAATACGTTTACATGCTCTACTGCATGTGAAATATATCACTTGAGAAAGTAAAAAAGGAAAAGAAGAATATACAATCTTTATATTCCAAAAGAAAATCAAAGTATATTCATAATTGTTTTAGACTACAATAACCCCCTCCACGTAGATATAACCCAAGATAAAAAATAAAGTTTATTTAGCAAATGCTTCGTAAACAAAACTCGGACATCATTCACAAATTTAATTCATTCTTATAAATCCTTCATTCATTATGTCTCATCCCATAATTGACTTTGAGAGCTCGAGAGAAAAGGAGAAGAAGAGACAACAGGAAAGAGAAGCGAGGAATTATATACTTGAGAAGGTAAGTTCCATTTTTTAACCGCGACTCTAATGGAAGATTTTATTTTTAATTTGACTTTTTTACGTTTTTGTTTTACTCGAAATTTAGTTATTAGTTGATTTCTTTTTGTTTCTGAAGTATTGTTTGTGATATTTCGACAGTATTTTTCTACTAAGACATTTATTAGGAAGGAATATCAGGATAAGGACTTTAAAAAAACACATACCGGTACCATCATTACAAGTTTTGTGTGATTCCTAATCTGTTTTCTTTCATTATCAATTAAAAAAATAAACGTAGATAATAACAGGCCTTTTGCTCATCTGCCTCTGGTCAAGATGTCACAGCTACACCTCTCCCATTGGCCTCTGTACCTGTGGGACTTGAGCAAAGGCCAACAGTTCTCCATCATATTGTAAACTGGTAAACTGGAGTCTGTTTTTTTCCTTGTCATCTGTCATGAAGTGAGGAAATTGAACAGGATTTACAAGGTGGAGATTATTGTCCTTTGCTCGAGATCCAAACGTGTGGAAATCATGGTGATTGCTGTAGACTGTGACACTATTTTGATTGGTCTTCATCATAAGTCATAGCTGGTTTTAAGTGGATGTGGATAGAACATAGCTGATATAATTACAAGGTAAAACTCCACTTTGATGGCTGTTGCAGATAGCTTCAGGATTTTTATCAAGTTACTGATAAAATTGTAGAAAAATATCATTAGAAATGCTCTAAAACATCACATGACTATAAAAAATCTCATTTTTATTTAGGTGATGTACACACAGCTTGATTTGCATTGCGTGTGAGTTGAATATCATAATTTTGTATCTTTTCTTCAATATTTTCTACCTTTATATGCTTGTAGGGTGACAGAATAGGTGTTAAGAATTAGGTCACTGTGTGCCTCATTTTCTTGGAATTTCTTAAAAACAAATAATGTAATACTCTATTTGAAGGAGTAGAAGTTTACTCACTTACCTAGATATAGGTTACAAATTGCATAATATTTTGAAGTAAAATTGTATACAGCAGCTTTGTTAGAAGGACATTTACTGGTTTTACCAGATGATCTCTTCCCAATTTTATTAAATATGTATCAGTCCTTAAGTTGAGTCTAAATTGTGGTCACAGTTCATGGGCACCGCAATAGTTAGACTGTATTTGATTACCACATTTAATCTTGCATGAGACTAACCCCTTTACTCTGCATTTCAAGGCCAAGAATGAGTTTGAAGTCAGGAAGGCGAGGGAGGAGGTAGCCCGGCAGAGAGGGGAGCACACGTGGATGCTCTCGTCTGTGGAGGCGAACCTTGATAGCTCCAAGAAGAAAAAGAAGAAAAAGGAAAAGAAGAAGAAGAAGAAGAAAGAGAAGAAAGCCAAGAAGAGCAAGAAACATGACTCATCGTCCTCAGTAAGTCGGAAGAGTGGGAGGAATTCATGAGGAATGAGGAATTCATTTATTTAACTTGTAAGAAACTGTTTTTTTTGTTTTTCCTTGCCCATATAACCACCTGTTCTATATATCGTTTAGTTGACTAAATGGAATTTTCATCCCTACAGAGCAGTAGCAGTGAAGATGAAGAAGGTGCATGGGTTGAAAAATCAACTCCCTCGGCTTCAATTCCCGCGTCGGTTAAAGAAACCACAGAACAGGAATCGTCTGCACCTCAGGGCAAGAGAGATGGCTGGATGGAGGTACAGTTTACTTATGAAATTTACTCAGCATATTTGTATTGGTGGTCGTTTAAGCCTTTTTTTTATCCATTGATTTTGTAGTTAATTTTAATAATTTTTCCATGGAATCTGTTGAATGACTAGAATGCTTTCTGATAGTTACTATTATGAATGTATGTATGTATATCTTTTTGTATATATGTATTCATGTATATTTGTATGCATGTATGTTTCTGTGTGGTAATATTTCCCCAACAATACCTAGTCATTATTTTATCTGGGACACACATTAAGTCTGCATTAGCTATATATCAAGTACTAGTTGAACCTCAAATATCTGTCACACTTTGAACAGGACCACTGCCAGACCATGAAAATCTGAAAGGAAAGTACTTTTATTACCATTATAGTAATAAAATGTAGTACACTATTATTATGCTTAGTTATAGCCCTCAAGTAAACTGAAATATCGACAGACAATAGGAATTGCCAAACATTAGAAATCTGGGACATGGAGAGTAAGCCTCTACTATCTCATGTTATTGAGTAATTTCCTCTGTTTTTTCTTATCCATTTTCTCTTGTTCTTTGACCCGATTACATGGTCAAAGACAGCAAGTCTTGAAAGGAATATATGGATAATAAAAACTGAAGTGAAAGGTAGAGATAGAAACAGATGAGTAAATTCAAACTTGTAATTTTCAGATGACATCGTTGTTTGGGACTTTCACCCGTGATGAGATGAGGGAGAGAGAGGGAACCTGTCGGAAGAAGGCCAAGGAAGAGGAAGAGGCAAGGAAGAGAGAAGCAAATAAGGTAATAGTTATTAAAGTATATATATATATATATATATATATATATATGTATGTATGTATGTATGTATGTATGTATGTATGTATGTATGTATGTATGTTTTACTCCTATTTTGATAAATGTAAAAAAAATGTAAATATTGTATGAGATAGCATAAGTTATGAGAGATACATATTTAGTGTATATGTGTGTGTGTGTATATATGTGTGTATGTATGTATATATATATATATATATATATATATATATATATATATATATATATATATATATATATATATATATATATATATATAATGTGTGTATATATGTGTATAAATGCATATATATTTATATGTTGTATATATGCATATATGTACAAAAATATTCTAACTAAACCCTGATCATGAAAATAACTTTGGATATCCTTACAGCCTGGTTCACACGCTCGTGAGCTGAACCCATACTTCAAGAACGGCGGGACAGGTTTGCCCGAAGAAGAGCCGCAGCAAAAGGTTTCTGTTGGACTAGATGCCGCTTGGCTGCGCAGGGCTCTCCAGCGCGCAAAGGAGCAAGCAGAGAAGGAAAATAAGTCACTGGAGGAGGTTGCGGCTCAGAGATGGGGTGTATGTTTTGTTGGAGTGTTCAGTTTGTGAATGTTGATGTCTCTGACTGACATGTACTTATGCTTCCGTAATTCTAGCTTCCTTAGTTCTAGTTATATTTATTCTCCTCTTTATCCTCACTTAATTTGTCCTCCTTTTTCTCCTTTCATTTCTTTCCTCTTTCTTCAGTCTTTTCTCCTCTTCATACTTTTTTCTGTATTTTTTTTTTCTTGCTGCTCTTTCCACACTGCTCGTGTCTTCTTTTTATTTGTCTTATATCTTTCCTTTTACCTCTCTTTTCTCTCTTGTTTCCTCTCTATCTACTTGCACTGTATTCCATCGTTTCCTATTTCAATCTTTTGTTTAATTTCTTCAGAAAGAGAGGTTGGTGCTATAAAGAATTATAATAATATGTTGCAGTCTTTATAATTAAATGATCTCTTCTACTTTCCAGTCCCTTGCCAAATTCCACGAGCTCTTAGCAGAAGCAGAAGGGCGAGGGAGGAGTCGCCAGGAGGAGCCATGGCAACAGGGAAGACGAAATCGAGACAGACTGGATGATAGGCACGGTGACCGAAGGAGGAGTAGAAGCAGGGAGAAGAGTAGAAGAGATCAGAGGAGCAGAAGTAGGGAAAGACAAAGAAGGAGCAGAAGTAGAGAGAGACAAAGGAGGAGTCGAAGCAGAGAGAGAAGGCGAAGCAGAAGTAGAAGCAGAGACAGGCAGAGAAGAAGCAGAAGTAGAGAATATGACAGGAGGAAAGAAAAGAGTAGACATAGGAGATACAGTAGCAGTTCCAGCAGCTCTGATAGTGAAAGTGACAGCAGAAGTAGAAGTGGAAGTAGGAAGAGAGAAGATATGAGAAGACCTAAAGAGAGCCAAGAAGATAGAGAAGGTGGAATAAGGTATTCTAACATTTTGGTCAATATTTTAAGAAATTTGTTCTGCAGATGATGTATATCTTTGATTTACTATTAGACTTAGTACCTGTTTTCTTACCCAGTCTTTTTATTAGCATGTACTTCCTCAAAGCTTTCACTGTTTTTAACTTTGCTGAATATTCATCAAGCCAGTTCTAAATCATATCTATGAATGTTGCAAGAGTTTGGTTGGAATGCAAACTGTGGCTTTTATGATATGTCCAATCAGTTCTAGCTACTAGCAGTTCCTTTCACCCACAGGAATATAAAAGGGCTCTTAAAACCTCCGAGTGATGATTCTGTTCATGATAAACATTCCTCCAGTCTTGCTTCAAGGTTCCAGAAACCAGGGGAAGGAAACAGTTTTAGGTAAGTGAGATATTGGAATATTAAAGTGTAGTTATTTTAGTGATGAGTTTTTATGGTTGATTAAAGGTGTGTTGTAGTTATCAGGAAGGATCCCTTTCTAAAACAATATGGAACTAAGAAAACTGCAACTATTGAATTACTTTATGTGGTTATTGAAACTTCTCAGTGCCAGTGGCATCTCCCAAACTTAAATAAATGAGTGAGTGTCAGTAAAGTGTATTTATTTTAACTTCCAGTTATACTTTGCATCAGTATGAGAAACCATGCGCATCTTTTGACAGAATGAAATTGTATAGAGGTTTTTAGTATTAACTTCAATTATTCTAGAAATATGAGCTCAGCATCATCTAGCAGTTCACGAGGTTGGCAGAAAAAACAAAGACCACAAGAGGAGAGTCAGAGGGAAAGAACTGCAAGTAGAAAGCCAGTTTCTTCTTCATCGTCATCCTCATCTTCAAGTGAATCTGAAGAGGTACTGACATTGTCTTCATCTACATCTAAGTTGGCATTATATCATTAGGTCTCAATAGGGTAAAAATATAATATATTTAGTAGAGCTATTTAAGTCAGCTATACAATTTATGGTATTTTCTCTTTTGTATTAGAAATAAAAGTTATTTTGAAGTTAGAAAGAAAACTTTGATCAGCAAATTTATTTTACCTAACCAGTTAATTAAAGTCTGACTTCAAACATGGAAAAATGAGTAAATGTAAAAGTATTTTTTTCTGCATGTAACTCTTTTTTTTTTTTTCAGGAACCCCCACAAAAGGTTGAAAATATACGAGAAAAAGAACGAGTCGAAGAAACTGTCACTGAAGGTCCAGCGCCTCAAGCCAAATTGTTGACAGACAAGGAAATGAATGAGTTAGCAGCAAAAATTATGAAGGCAGAACTTATTGGAAATGAGGCAAGTTTGTCCAGAATTCGGAACTCACTTTTTCAAAGAAATTCTTTTGAAAAAAATATGAAGGAATATGTTATTAAGATTTTAAAAGTTTCAAATGAATTCATGATGTCTTAGAGTCTGTTTTCAGGAATAACTTTTCCAGGCTATTCACTCTCTTATTTCTGAAAATGCATTAATATACTTATTCCTACCTCGTCAGCCACAAGCAGCAAAACTCAAAAAGAAGCTGGAAGTAGCTCGTGCAGCCAGGGCCAGTGCCCCACAAGGAAGCAGGGAAGATGACGAAGCCCAAACAAAGGAGGAGGTTGTTGTCTTGACGAGGATGGATGCCAGAGGTGAGTGCGGTTCAGGCATCCTCATGATTCTTTTTTTTTTTTTTATATACGAGAAAAAGAACGAGTCGAAGAAACTGTCACTGAAGGTCCAGCGCCTCAAGCCAAATTGTTGACAGACAAGGAAATGAATGAGTTAGCAGCAAAAATTATGAAGGCAGAACTTATTGGAAATGAGGCAAGTTTGTCCAGAATTTGGAACTCACTTTTTCAAAGAAATTCTTTTTGAAAAAAATATGAAGGAATATGTTATAAAGATTTTAAAAGTTTCAAATGAATTCATGATGTCTTAGAGTCTGTTTTCAGGAATAACTTTTCCAGGCTATTCACTCTCTTATTTCTGAAAATGCATTAATATACTTATTCCTACCTCGTCAGCCACAAGCAGCAAAACTCAAAAAGAAGCTGGAAGTAGCTCGTGCAGCCAGGGCCAGTGCCCCACAAGGAAGCAGGGAAGATGACGAAGCCCAAACAAAGGAGGAGGTTGTTGTCTTGACGAGGATGGATGCCAGAGGTGAGTGCGGTTCAGCATCCTCATGATTCTTTTTTTTTTTTTTTTTCCTTTTCCATGACTCATTTTGATTAGTTTGATAAACAACCAAAAGTTCATAATAATCTGAGGTGTATATATATATTATGTAGAGAGCATAAAGTTATATAGAGGTATTTATATAGAGTGATAGAGATGGACAGATAGATAGATAGAGAGAGAGATAGAGAGATTAATATATTTATATAGAGGATATAGATATACATAGTGTGATATATAGGGAGAGACGTAAAGAATGATTTGGACAAAGAGATATATAGAGAAATGCAAATATAGATACATAAAGAGAGATACCTACAGATAGATAGATAGATAGATAGAGTAATATAGATATAGAGGGAGGGATAGGGGGAGAGAAATTTTTTGGCTCTTCACTATCATGAGTAAAGATGTAAGCATAAATGATATCTTTTTATTTTCTCAGGTGTATGCAGGCCTGTATCAGGGTCAGTTGAAAAAGGTGACGGAAAGAGGAAGAAGAAGATGAAAACTCACGACAAAGATGGCCAGAGGACAAAATATTTCCCCGATGATGATCAGTATGACCTCAAACGCATGGTATGTCGCTGGCATTGCATGTGCAAGTAATGATACGGTGAATTAAAGCTAAGTAAAGCATGACTTGAGTTCAGAATTTGGCTGTGAATTATATCTACCTTTGATTTACTTTTGAACAGTTTGAGAAGGAGAAGGGAACCTCTGCTGCAGATCAGAACTCGCTCTTTGAACGTTCAGCAATGCACAATAGCGAGAAACTCAATGAGGAGTATGACCTGGATGACATGTTCATGAGTAAGGCTGTTCAAAAGGAGAGTTCTGCCAAACAAGCGGAAAGAGATCGACAGAAGGCCATTGATGTAAGTTGCATTTGACACTTGTTGGAAAAGCCTATAAAGATAAAATGTGAATTTGATCAATAATAACTTTTTGGGTCAAGACTATTTGTATCATAATGGATTTAATGAATATTTGATCAATAATAACTTTTTGGGTCAAGACTATTTGTATCATAATGGATTTAATGAATATTTGATCAATAATAACTTTTTGGGTCAAGACTATTTGTATCATAATGGATTTAATGAATATTTGATCAATAATAACTTTTTGGGTCAAGACTATTTGTATCATAATGGATTTAATGAATATTTGATCAATAATAACTTTTTGGGTCAAGACTATTTGTATCATAATGGATTTAATGAATATTTGATCAATAATAACTTTTTGGGTCAAGACTATTTGTATCATAATGGATTTAATGAATATTTGATCAATAATAACTTTTTGGGTCAAGACTATTTGTATCATAATGGATTTAATGAATATTTGATCAATAATAACTTTTTGGGTCAAGACTATTTGTATCATAATGGATTTAATGAATATTTGATCAATAATAACTTTTTGGGTCAAGACTATTTGTATCATAATGGATTTAATGAATATTTGATCAATAATAACTTTTTGGGTCAAGACTATTTGTATCATAATGGATTTAATGAATATTTGATCAATAATAACTTTTTGGGTCAAGACTATTTGTATCATAATGGATTTAATGAATATTTGATCAATAATAACTTTTTGGGTCAAGACTATTTGTATCATAATGGATTTAATGAATATTTGATCAATAATAACTTTTTGGGTCAAGACTATTTGTATCATAATGGATTTAATGAATATTTGATCAATAATAACTTTTTGGGTCAAGACTATTTGTATCATAATGGATTTAATGAATATTTGATCAATAATAACTTTTTGGGTCAAGACTATTTGTATCATAATGGATTTAATGAATATTTGATCAATAATAACTTTTTGGGTCAAGACTATTTGTATCATAATGGATTTAATGAATATTTGATCAATAATAACTTTTTGGGTCAAGACTATTTGTATCATAATGGATTTAATGAATATTTGATCAATAATAACTTTTTGGGTCAAGACTATTTGTATCATAATGGATTTAATGAATATTTGATCAATAATAACTTTTTGGGTCAAGACTATTTGTATCATAATGGATTTAATGAATATTTGATCAATAATAACTTTTTGGGTCAAGACTATTTGTATCATAATGGATTTAATGAATATTTGATCAATAATAACTTTTTGGGTCAAGACTATTTGTATCATAATGGATTTAATGAATATTTGATCAATAATAACTTTTTGGGTCAAGACTATTTGTATCATAATGGATTTAATGAATATTTGATCAATAATAACTTTTTGGGTCAAGACTATTTGTATCATAATGGATTTAATGAATATTTGATCAATAATAACTTTTTGGGTCAAGACTATTTGTATCATAATGGATTTAATGAATATTTGATCAATAATAACTTTTTGGGTCAAGACTATTTGTATCATAATGGATTTAATGAATATTTGATCAATAATAACTTTTTGGGTCAAGACTATTTGTATCATAATGGATTTAATGAATATTTGATCAATAATAACTTTTTGGGTCAAGACTATTTGTATCATAATGGATTTAATGAATATTTGATCAATAATAACTTTTTGGGTCAAGACTATTTGTATCATAATGGATTTAATGAATATTTGATCAATAATAACTTTTTGGGTCAAGACTATTTGTATCATAATGGATTTAATGAATATTTGATCAATAATAACTTTTTGGGTCAAGACTATTTGTATCATAATGGATTTAATGAATATTTGATCAATAATAACTTTTTGGGTCAAGACTATTTGTATCATAATGGATTTAATGAATATTTGATCAATAATAACTTTTTGGGTCAAGACTATTTGTATCATAATGGATTTAATGAATATTTGATCAATAATAACTTTTTGGGTCAAGACTATTTGTATCATAATGGATTTAATGAATATTTGATCAATAATAACTTTTTGGGTCAAGACTATTTGTATCATAATGGATTTAATGAATATTTGATCAATAATAACTTTTTGGGTCAAGACTATTTGTATCATAATGGATTTAATGAATATTTGATCAATAATAACTTTTTGGGTCAAGACTATTTGTATCATAATGGATTTAATGAATATTTGATCAATAATAACTTTTTGGGTCAAGACTATTTGTATCAAAATGCATTTAATGAATATTTGATCAATAATAACTTTTTGGGTCAAGACTATTTGTATCATAATGGATTTAATGAATATTTAATCATTAATTGTGTTGTAAAATATTTTATGTTTTCACAGGACCTCAGGAAATCTCTAGTCAGAATGTTCAATTCTCGTGACGAAGATTGCATATTCTTTGAGACGGTGAAACGGCTGAGAAATTATCCGCACATGGTCATCAACTGCGTGCCTCTGCCAAAGGAAATGGGGGATATGGCTCCTATTTACTTTAAGGTAGTCATCGTTTTTCTTAGTTTTTTGTTTTTGATTTTCTACAAGATTATTAGTGAATAGGAAACTTTATAAGGAAGTATACCTACAGTGATAATGGTTTTATTTGCGATATATGGAATGCTTACTTATATCCTTAACAGCTTTTGTTTCTGGATGCCTTAAAATTTCTTAGTATTTATACTTAGAATTTGAACTAAACATTTTAAAGCTCATGTAAACTTACAAGGGCTGTGATATTACACATATGTGATCAGATTTAATATTACATTCTTCTGTTGAAAGTATTGTTAAGCAATTTTTATAAGAAAATATTTTTGTTTATTCCCTTTTTTTTCATATTTCCATGAATTGCTATTAGAGATTAGTGAATGATGAATAATCTTTAAAATAATCCCTGAATTATATTCAAGCTTTTGACATATGCATTTCACAATCAGAAGAGTACATTTAATCAAATACATTTACAGAAAGCAATCATGGAGTGTGAAGCAGAGTGGGCACAAAACAAGAAACTGGTCGACTTGAAGAACCGCAGTGTACGTTCCGCAGTGCCCAAAGGATTGCCTTACTTCTTTGTTGACTTTGCCATGGATCCGGGATATGCTCACGTGATTGAAGACGAGCAGGATTTCCCGCATAACTTCGCTCAAGTAAGTGTCCACTACAATGTGGAAGAATGCATCAAGCTAAACTTTTGTATTCTTTAGCGTCAGATTTTTAGTTTTCGATAGATGTGTTTGTTACGAGTGTTTTAGTCTTTCACGTTCTAATTGTCATTCAATTTCAGGAAATTGTTGGAGGGATGTTGGACTTGGAGAATAACCTGTGGCGAAAACCACGCAAGGAGAATTTCGATCAACAGAGGAGGAAAGTAATGGAGTTTGGTGGTTGGTACAAGGAGTTTGATCCCACGCAAGATAATTAAATATTTATTGATGCAGTATGTTTTTATTTCTATCTCTATTTTTCAGTGATAAGACTTTTATAATAGGAGAAATAAAAGTGGTTGAATTATTGTTGTTTGGATTTTTAAGGAAGCTTAATGGTACACCTGACATATAAGACAAATACTGTATATCTAGAGGAGTCATAATGGAAATGAGATACATATAAAAATTTGCAGTCTGAACATAAACATGATATATGGACATAAAATTTGTACATATTGATCAGTTTATTTTATGCAAACAAAGATTTTCATATTCTTCTTAACCTTAAGATAGAAAATATTGAATAAATTACTGGATAATTCAATAAAATGGTTTTAAGAGTATTTTCATGTTCGAAATTCTTTACTGTGACGATCTTCCTTGTAGAAAACACAGTGTTACCTGTTGTGTGATTCCTGAGAAATTACAATACAACCTTGGACTCTTCTTTCTATGTATAGTATAAAGTACTTAACATCTTGCTGAAAATTAGTCCGAAAGGTTTATAGCATATTGATCAACACATTTAGACATCACTAATATTTATAAACATTTTATATCAACTATAAATACACTATTCTCTTTAAGTAGTCAAATATATGAAATAGTTGAGTATTTGTTGTGTGTTATCCTTGTCTAACATTTCATGAAGAGGCAGTAACTGTAATTTTAGCCATAGAACACTTATTTGCTTGTTTATTTATTTTTATTTATTTTTCCACTATGAAACACATTCTTTGTTGAAACTTCAAAGTGCACTGAATATTTACCTACACCTGTGAACACTTTAAATGCGAGCTTTTCTGCTGACTTTGTCGTATACCTCGGGAAAAGCTTTCTCACAGTTTAAGCTTTTGCGCACCTGGTCATACAAGGAGTGGTCAAACATCTGCCGATATTCCTCACGAGTCATGTAAGAGTCGGCATACATCATTTGGAATCTGTTGGTAGGAATAAAAGGGAAACCGTATAATGAGAAAAGTTGCTTTAACTCATTGCAATTGAGTGAATGTACTATCCACCGTAGTTTTGTTTTGTGAATTTTGTTTTTGCTAAGGCTCGGCAAGTGCGCATCCACCAGAGAATCGGTTAGTAGACTTATGTGACCTTGCTTGATTATCCTTTGCCTTGACTTTTCAGGAAAAATATTTCTTTTAGTCATCTAATCATTAGGAGCCAAGCCCAGATACTGGGTGGCAAGGATATGTCCCAAGGACTGTGTGCCCGCTCAATGCTGTGCCTTAAACAGTTGTTTGCTTGTCATATCTTTGGACAAGACACCCCCTCAAAGGTGAGCCATGTTTTAGTCTCTATTACTGAAAGTAGGAATAAAAGGGAAACCGTATAATGAGAAAAGTTGCTTTAACTCATTGCAATTGAGTGAATGTACTATCCACCGTAGTTTTGTTTTGTGAATTTTGTTTTTGCTAAGGCTCGGCAAGTGCGCATCCACCAGAGAATCGGTTAGTAGACTTATGTGACCTTGCTTGATTATCCTTTGCCTTGACTTTTCAGGAAAAATATTTCTTTTAGTCATCTAATCATTAGGAGCCAAGCCCAGATACTGGGTGACAAGGATATGTCCCGAGGACTGTGTGCCCGCTCAATGCTGAGCCTTAAACAGTTGTTTGCTTGTCTTATCTTTGGACAAGACATCCCCACAAAGGTGAGCCATGTTTTAGTCTCAATTACTGAAATATTAATACACAGACAGAGCTGAGTAAATATGGCTTTCCTATGCATTTATTTTTTTTTCCATCCTTGGCATATGGCTTAGTTCTGCACATTGGGTTAATATTAATGTTGTTTTTATTATTACTATAACAATAAAAAATAAGAAAGTGAGCTTTCAAAAAGTCAAGGGAAAGAAGATACTGATGGGATAGTTAGGACTAATAATGGACTTCTTGGTAATCAGCTCTTGTGGAGCCAACTAAACACAATGAATAAACTAAAATGACAGTGGACATGACATTTTTTTTTTTCATTGTCATGGCATGGATGGCTGTTCAAGTATAAAGAAATGAAGATGCAGTATAAAGCAATGTTTTTTTTATTTAATAATTGTTATTACTGGTGAATAGTCACTTCTGAGTGACCTGCTGCACATGATAATGAAAAGTGAGTAGGTGTGATTAATTTCATAGCATTTTCTCTTTCTTTCCTTTTTTGCACATGCAAATTTCCTGCAAGAATAAAAATTAAAATGTTTGTCAACAAATACAGGATAAGAAATAAGAGAATAAATAAGAAAAACATGAAACAAACTAACCCTTTAACCTTCCTGACAAATTCTTCAACGCGACGAGTTGTGGCAACGGGTTCAAAATTGTTCACTTTAGGCACTCCGTAAGTGCCAATGTCAACAAAGAGAGTTTCAGCATCATTTGGTGGACGCAGCATGCCTGGGTTGGATGGTAGTTTGAAAGGACACAGCCAAATGGGATAAATCTGAAAAATGTAGGTTACATCTTTGTGAAATGAAAAATTTAATGATACAGGGAAATAATTGGATCAGTATGAATAAAGAATTACTAATATATATGAATTAACAAGAAAAAAATCTGTACTGTTCAGTTTGATTTTTAAAATTTTCTTTTGAAACTGTAATTTGTAAAAAACAACCAGCAACATACTTTGACTTCTTTCTCAAACACTTCCAGTGCCTCTTTCATGGTGGAAAGAGGAACCAGCATGTCCTGGATGAAATGATTCTTCTCATACAGTTCCTTGACTGTCTGTCCCTGGGTCAGCTTGAGCAACGACACTTTTGGGGGCACCAGCCAGCCCAGCAGGTAACGGAAGACCACGTTATTGCCAAAGGGGATGATATCCTGGGGGGGATTTTACATTTTCATAATTAATATTTCTATTTTGGTGTCTTTCTGTGCATTAAAGATTGCCAAGCAACATGGTGATATTACTGAAAGTTAACAATATTGATATATTTCTTAAATGAAAGAGAAATTACATAGGTTCCTGTCAAAAATAGAATGGAGAACTTTCATAGATTTCTTAAATACAAGAAAAATGACATAGGTATCTGTTATAAATTGAGAGGATTGAAATAGGTACAGTAGGAAGAGAGATCTGACCTGTATTTCCCAAAAGATTGATCTTGTGTGTCGATGGTAATAATCCCTAAGGGGGATATACTCTACAACTTTCAAATCCTTTTCTAAGAAGGTTTGTACATGCTTGAAGAACCAAGGCTTGTACCATTTCCCAATAGGGTTTAGCTGTAACAGACATACAGTTCATCAAAATCAATAATATTATCCTGTGAATATTCATATAATACCTTCATATATGTATTACATTGTATATAATAAAAAATAATAATGTTTAGCTTTCCATTACATTGTATACAATAAAAAAAAATAATAATGTTTAGCTTTCCATTACATTTTATACAATAAAAAAGTAGTAATGTTTACCTTTCCTGGTTCAGCAGAGGTTGTCATGTTACAGGTCATAACAACACCAGAGTTTAGGGAGTACATAAGACCTTCAACAAACTGATTGCCATCGGTCTTGTTTGTTTCTTCTGCAAAGGTCTGGACTAGATTATCCAGGGAATGACATGGCTTGTACTCAACACGCACAAATCTGTTATAGAAATTAAGTATCAGTAAAAGTTCTAACAAAACCACAGTGCATGTAATGGCTTTGACAAAAAGAATAATATATTATATATACACATAACAATCAAATTTTGATAAACAGTAGGAGAATTGATTTATCTTTTAAATTGGTGAATTAATTGTAATAATATTTGTGTATATAGAACTGAGGAATACCTTTGAGCTGGAACAATATTAATTTCCACAGATGTAAGGAAGCCTAGTGTCCCATATGACCAAGGAACAGAGTAAAATAAATCAGGATTTTCAGTCTGAAAAGCAAAAGTGAGACTCATAAGCATATTAAACAGGGAAACTTTAATTGTTATCATTTAATGAATCATCTTCAGTGTAATATGGCTGTGTACAAGGATTGATAAGAAAAGCTTATCTACATATTTCATTATGAGTTTGACTTCTAAGTCTAACCTTTGAGCATGTTACAACTGATCCGTCAGCAACAACTAGTTCAAAGGACACGCACATATGCTGGAAAAGTCCAATTTTGTGTGAAGAGCTTTCGATGCCTGTGCCCATTACCAAGCCACCTGAGGAAGATGTGTTTAGTGATTACATATATCATCTCATCTTAACAAAATTGTTTATACTTTTATTTACTATATATCAGTCCTATGCTATCATATATTTACCATATTACCTTTTACAAATAAGTGTTATCTAAGGCAGTTATTGTTAAGATTAAATTTTTCAAATGTTAGTATTACTAAGTCAGTTCTGAAGACAAATCATTATTACTTAATGTATTCAGTATCTTTATAAAGCAAAAATCTGTATCTAATCAAATAAGTATGAAATCCTCAAATGTTGTAATATAGCTGTGTACAAGGATTGATAAGAAAAGCTTATCTACATATTTCATTATGAGCTTGACTTTAAGTCTAACCTTTGAGCATGTTACAACTGATCCGTCAGCAACAACTAGTTCAAAGGACACGCACATATGCTGGAAAAGTCCAATTTTGTGTGAAGAGCTTTCGATGCCTGTGCCCATTACCAAGCCACCTGAGGAAGATGTGTTTAGTGATTACATATATCATCTCATCTTAACAAAATTGTTTCTTTTATTTACAATATATCAATCCTATGCTATCATATATTTACCATATTACCTTTTACAAATAAGTGTTATCTAGGGCAGTTATTGTTAAGATTAAATTTTTCAAATGTTAGTATTACTAAGTCAGTTTTGAAGACAAATCATTATTACTTAATGTATTCAGTATCTTTATAAAGCAAAAATCTGTATCTAAGCAAATAAGTATTGAAATCTCTAAATGTTATTTTACAGCATGCCTTGTCTTAAGTCCACTATCATTATGTAGAAAACTCCATCTCAGTCATAAATTGCAGAATACTGACAATGTTGATTTAAGATTTTTATTAAATACATGCCGTGAAAAATAGGTCTTTCAAAATCTTGTTTGATCATACAAAATTAGTC